AACTTCAGCACCATTAGTCCCTGAGGTTGTATATTTCTACTTTTCATAAAATGGAAACACTCAAAAGCTATAAGAGTGCTACCTGTGATCAAACTGTTAAGGAAAAAGGCACTTTAGGTCTCCTCAACAATATTAGAAAAAATTATTTTCAACCTATTAGCTAGTGTTTTTAAGAAAATCTTATACAAAATAGAACACAGGCTAATTGGACGAAAATTAGAACTAAGGAATGAAATTTCTACCTTAGGAATTAAGAAAATTAAGGTTTTGTTTATAGTTACCAACTCACCTAAGCCATTCATAACATTTAGGGTCATGCTCGCAACATCTTCCCCCACTATGTGCCAAAACTCCTTATAGAAGAAAGTGGGAGTTCCATCCAACCCAAGGGCCTTTGTTAGGTTCATCTAGTATAGGACCCATTTTACCTCTTCAACTATAAACTCCTTGAATGAGTCATCTTTTGCGTTAATAAATGGAAGATAAAGTATATACAGAAGATTGTTTACAAGAATGTATACACAAAGCCAATGAATGCAAGCTAGCAACATTAAGGATATCATTTTTCTTGAAGCAGAATGCTACTAACATTTTCTCTTATACTTTTTATTTTTTAACATATAATTTTTATTGATTGAAATAAATCTTGCTAATTTATAAATGATACTCACATATTTTGTTTAATATTGAATGTATGTAACAAGATGGATGGTAAGGTGCACCATGCTTTCATGCGATGAATGGTGGGTTGGTTTTACACTTTAAAGAGTTTTACAATAAATATATATACAAACTTTAGTCCATAATAAATAAATAATTCAAATACTTAAAAATAATTAATATTCCCAAATAATGCCTAAAATATAAAAGTTTTGCTCATAAAATATTTTTAATATGAATAGTTTAATATGACCTAAAGAGATTGAAATTTAGAGATGACAATGAGGTGGGAAGAGTGCGGGTAGTAACTACCATCAATTGCCTCATTTATATTATGTTTGGTAGAGAAACAAACATATAGAGAAGAGAAAAGATAGGAAGAAGTAGAGAAAAGAGTAAAAACGAGGTTGTTTTGTAGGAGAGAAGTAGAAGAGAAATGATAAAAATTTAGAAAGATTATTTAATATAAAATTATTTTTTTTATTATTAGTATTAATATTTCATTTAATTTTATTATATAATAATAATTATTAATTTATATAAAGACATCATAATCAATTATGTTGCATCTGTAACATTTTTTGTCACACTTCCACTTATTTTTGTAGAAAAATAAACAATAACAAAACTTACTTGCATTTCTTTACTATTTTGCACATTACCACTATATAAAACAAATAAAAATTGTAACAACCTTCCATGACCACTACATTAAATAAATAAACTACTAGTAGCAAAAATAACTAATTACTGTAGACACCTAATTTTGTCTAGGGTACTAAACCAAGGACAAAAGTTTACTAGAGTGAGACAAAAGGTCCTTGAGGGGGTAACACATTGAGCAACATTTTTGTTCTGATATATATAATATCTCTCGTTACAAATGTAATTTTTACGATATGATCGTTGAAGTTAAAGATCAATGTATTAAGAATGTATCATCAAAATTTCAACATGATTCAATGATTAACGAATTCTCTAGAGGCCTCACACTGTAACAAAAAAATCAACACACACGACCCCTAAAGGTCCAATAAAGCTCCTAAACGGGCCAAGATAGCTCCGAAAGGCCCAAAAAACTCAAAAACACTAATTTGGGGTGCAAAACAGTCGTTCCCAAATTGGAAGGGACCGTTCCCAGTGTTGGAACGGCCCGTTCCAAAATCGGAATGGCCTGTTCCCCTTTCCAAAAAATTTTACATTGGACAACATTTTTGTTTTGGTAATATCTCTTGCTAAAGACCTAATTTTGATGATCCAACCGTTGAAACTAAATATCAATGTATTAAGAAGATATCATCAAATTTTCAGCATGATCCAACGGTTAATGAATTCTCTTGAGGCCTCGCATTGTAGTTGGAAAATAGGAGTCTTATACCAGACAATGTTTTTGCTATGATAGTATCTCTCACTACAGACCTAAGTTCAACGATCCAACCATTGAAATTGAAGATCAATAAATTGTGAGGATACCACAAAAAAACCAGCACGATCTGATGGTTAACAAGTTCTCTAGAAGTCTTGCATGGTGCTTAGAAAAAAATTGTATTTTTATAAAATTTAGTTCCATGTCGAATAACTCTCTTATGCTTCTGACTCCTAGTTGGCTATATAAGAAACCCTTTCACCAAGGGATTAGGGGACCTCCAGCTGTATAACTTCCCCCTCTCTATATAAATCTTTGAGTGATAGTAAAGTTTTTGTAGAGTGATTAGTTGTCAAAACGCGCCCCGCACACATTTGGAAAAATTCCCTTATAAAAGGCTTGTTTCGGAGGTTCTAAATTCTTATTTTTTATTTATTATTTTATTTATAATTCTTATATGTAAATAAATAATAGGTATTTTTTGTCATGTAAATAATATTGAATAATAAAAGGGGATAAGGTATTTAAACTATTATTTATTATTATGCTATTATCATCATAAGGTACCGATTTAGAGTGTTGTAGGGTGCCTATCACCTTCCCCACACGTAATCGACTCACGAACCCAATTCTGGCTATGAAAGCCAATGTTGTAATTTCAAAATCTTTTCATTTTTTGCTGTTTTGATTAAAATATTGGTGGCGATTCCTTTGAATTTTCAAAAACTATTGATTAAGGATTAGTCTGATTTCCGGGCATTCCCTAACTGATGAAATTTTCAAAACGGAGGTTCAAACCATTTGTGGGCAAGATCGGAATTTTTCAGGTTCTCACAATTACCTAAGATTATTATAATCATAATTCCTAAATATATGCACCAATACATATATGTGTGTGTGTGTGTGTTTGTGTGTAGGTATGTACGTACGCGTGCGTGTGTATAGTAATCAAACACTATAAAATAAAAATCATAGGTTGTCGATCAAGTAACTCTACAAAATTTTACAGAGATAACATTAAGCTACACCGCCATCCAATATGGCCCTCAACTTGCTATACCCTTCTAGGCTAACCTTATCTTGCTCCCATGTAAATATGATTATCGTAGTTCAATCACTAGAAAACATGCAAGGGCAAGCAACGTCATGGCTTACAACATAACAATGCACCTCAAACACATGACATTCAAAAACATAAAAGGCAAACAATATTTTTATCATACATCAACAATAATGTCATTCAACAACCAAAACCATACAACATATGAACAACACCAAATTCACCACATCATATGCATAACACCTCAACATGTTTTGTTACGCATTCACCTACGAAGATCTCTTACAACAACAGTAAACAGTTTAAATGACTTGACTCTACCAAACTAAATGTTCTTTTATAGGGATATCAACCCCCAACAACATGGTTTCTCAAATGTCTCCACTTAAACTATAAAGTTTAGTAGTCTTGCTATGTCACTCCATTGGTGCTTGACGTCAATTCAAGTAGAGATGATTCCCTCTTCTCACACCCAACGCCATTCAACTTAATGCTTAATGTGTTAAAGTTAAAGGAAGGTCTCTCTCTTCACACTTGACGCCACCAATCCTACATCTAACGTGAGTGAGATAAAGGATCCCTAATTCGAGCCACGATTGATGCCATTAATGTGCGTCCAAGGTGATGATAAGTTCTGCACTTAGTAGATTTTCAAATTGACTCAAGACTACCTGAAATCCAGAAAATTCCAACATGCAAAGGCATATATCACAGTATCACACATATACATCATCCACAACTCATTTTGCACATGAAATTCAACATACAACCAAAGATCAACCAAAATCAATAAGATTCATCTCTACAAGCTCAAACATTCAAAACTCAACAAAACACCTTAGATTCATCCATACAACCACGAATTCCACGACATCTAAGCACAACAATTCAATAAATCAACAAGGATTGTAGTTTTAGCTTCCCTTACCTCAAGATTATTCCAAAAAAGAGGAAGGGGAATAAGAAATGATTCAAAGCTCCGAGCTCCACATGCTCCACACCACACCATGACCTTGATTCTTAGCTAATAGCTTCAAATCACCACCCAACAAAAATCTTCACACACTCAGGAGGTCTATAAAGAAGAAAGGAAGAGTTAGGGTTCCATAGTCATTTTTTCTAGTTTATTTCTCTATGTTTTTTTTTAAAAACTGAACTTACGAAGTTCAAGTCTTAAAAGAAACCTTATGTATTTTTTTCCTTTTAGGTCAAACTGGACCTCTACCCAGGTAAACCTCTTGTACATCTAAAAATTCCTAAAAAAATTTCTTAACTCCCAAAGTTTCTCAACAACACTCTCCACACCACATAATTATCAATAAAACACAATAATTAATAAAAAGTACAATGTTATGGTAACTTATTTCATTCTTTTCACAATTCAATGATATTTTGTGCATATAATTGCTAATGCGAGTATCTATTTAGTAAATATTTATAAATTTTCTATACATCCACAAGTATATGCGAATATTTATTAAATGTAAAATTTTAAATAAAATGTAAAAAATAATTAAAACTAAAAATAAATAATTTTAAAAATATTTATATTAAAAATAATTTTATAATATATATTTATACTAAATAAATAATAATGACATATATGTATAATAAAAATTAATTAATACATTTTTAAAGTATGACAAGTAAGAATACCTTATTATTCATCTCCACTTTATTATTAAATAAATATCTATTTAATTATTCATTTATAATTTATAACACATTTTATTTTATTTACAAATATTTGTAGGTATTTTTTTTTAATTTTTTTTTCAATCACTTCCTAGGATCCAAATCCAATTCCAATGCAAACAAACACAAACTGTGGGTGGCAATGGCATCGAATGTAAATAACTAAATATTAGTGGAGTAATTAAAATTCCATAAATAAAAATAGGCGCGTTTTAGTGGAGTATCTCATTCTTCTTCCCCAAATTCTGTACTCTATACTGTGGTTTTTCCCTCTTAAACCCTAGCACATTGGGGTTCGATTCGAAACCACAACAAAGTTTCTGTGAACTCAGCGAGACCAATACCTTCCACCTTTCGTTCCAATTCGCACCGCCTGTAAGTTATTCATCCCTATTCCTTCACCAATTGCTTTCTTGTTTCGTAAATTCTTTGATTGCTCGCAAAACGTGATTATTCTTGTTGCAATGAATCTCCATAAAATTCGATGCTAAATGGCTTAATTAGGTTAAGGTTCTTGCGGAATTGGAAAATCCAGAAATGGACGAACGTCTCTTTGATGCATTTCGAATTCTCTTATTTTTTTTTTCTTTAAATGAATGATACCTGTGCGTTGTTTACGATTAGGCTTTGATAGGATTGAAGATAGAAAACAAGTTACCTAGCGTGCTTGGTTTGTGCGATGTGGTTAGGGGCATTGTAAAATTTGAGTTTCCTTTCGTTTTTTATTTTTTGTGAAATTCCAGGATCAGTTGAGAACTTGAGACGCATTTTTCCTGCTAAAATAG